GTGAGCGTCTGGACGGTTCACAATCGTTCAGTCGCGTCTTGAGCAGCTAATGAATATTCATAATTTTCACTAATTAGGTCCGATGATTTGCTAGACGCGTCTGAAATAGCGTGTTGGTCTAGACGCGTCTTTGTCGTCTGAAATAATTTGGAGATCACGCCTTACCCATCAATCCCAACCCCCCTTACACATAGATCAGGACACCCCTTGAGTTCACAATATCATTTCCTGCTGCTGCTGTCACTACCGCATCTACGTTGCCATGCCAACAGTATTATAATAGCGTAGGATTCCGCCCTCTCGTGACACTACCCCATTCCTAAGAAAAAAACCATTTTTTTTCCATCAATATTTACATTTACACAGGAATCTAATAGCTTTCACTACGTATCTATACGGTTGTAGAGCGAGAGATCTCATTACTTTCTTTCTTTCCTAGGTATGATAATACCTAGGACATTTATTTTAAGCATATAGGCCATTGGCCCAAATACAATATAAACGAAATCCATAAATAATCAGCTTCTATGTATGTATATTAAAATAATGTTTTCTATTTCTGTAAGCAAAGTAAGTGAACTTGATAAAGTTAAGATATATATTTTGATTTTTACAAGACATTAATAAAGTAAATTTTTCTGTTGATGGAAAGTTAACATAATGTGATGGTAAATATTTTTTTCTTAATTTTCCATAAAAGGGACATTGTAAAGTAAAATGAAATTCATCCTCTACTACATCATAATTGCATAATTTACATACTCGTTCACTTCTTTGTGTTTTTGTCCATCTTCCCCTTTCAACTTCGAGGTCAAGTACACCTAGTCTCAACTTTGTCATAATTTGTTTCATTTTAAAATTCTCAGTATAAAGATGGAAATTCTCTAAATAAATATCGCTTTTAAAAACACAATAGTATTTAAGTCTTGAAAATGATTTCACATTCTCAAGAAAGTGTTGGCGTTCTATATCTTTAAGACGTAACTTAAAAGCATTAATGAAACTTCTCTAATCATTCACATTTTGTGCCATCCACACATAGCCAAAGCCCATAGAGAAAAGTAAATTTTTAACTTGCATAGCCCAACAATTTTCATTACGTGATATTTTTCTAATCTGTAAATTATAACATTTTACTATGTACCTGCTCTGATCAGTGTGGATAATGTATATCCAAAATCGAATTATATTAATAAGACATGTAATAGATAGGGGAAATCGTCCCATTTCTGATAGGATTGAGATGTTGGGCGCGTTATTTCCCACACATAAAACATATCTACAAAACTGGTTTTGGACACGTTCAATCATTTTGATGTTTTTGCATTTGTCCAAAGACCATTAGCACTGAATATTACACCTAGGTATTTAAATGAATTTACAATTTCTATATACTTTCCTTTATAATACCATTTTTCTATTTTTCGTATCTTACCACCATTTTTAAATACCATAGCCTTAGTTTTTTCGACATTAACAGTGAGTCCCCATTCATCACAATATTTAGAAAGTATATCAATTAAGTTTTGTAATCCTTTAATAGTATCCCCGACCAATACAA